CAGAAATGCTTCAATACCTGTTTCTGCTTCAGCGTGCTTAATTGTTTTTTACTCTTTTGGTTATTGGTAAAAAATGTACTGCGGATGTGCCACTTTTACTTTGAGGTTTAGGACTGCCTGAGCTTGATTTTGCAGATAGTGTTTGCTTGTTTACAGGGTTACGTAAAGTACATTTAAAAAGTACTTGAAGTAAAATACAAAGTAAATTAGAGGTTGTGTACTTCAGGTAATGTAGTATGTCCACCGAATGCAATGTACCTGAAGAAGTAAAGCACTATAAATACAATGTGCTTTCAAAGTAAAGTACACGTACCTTTTAACACAAACTTTCATGATGCCCTTTCATCCCCTATACGGTATTTTTAGAAGCAATCAAAGGTGCATCACTTTTTTGTTTTCGTTTTTTTTTAATAGGCAGCGAATATTGGATTAAGTCAAGTTGCCACAGAGCAGTTGTTTTACTCTCGCTGACGAACTATTTAACATAATGAACTTATAAGGCCCTTTTTTGTATCGGTCTTTTAGCCGCCATTACGTCACCTAGAGAAGTGACCAGATGACGTCTTGACAAAGAATAGCGCGTTTTCACATGTCGATACGCCATGTTTTGTTTTTCATATTTGGGGAATGTATATTGAAGTCGTACTTTACTCGGTAAAGTACTTGCAAAAATATTTTAGTTCAGTACAACTTACAAGCACATGATCAGAGAATGTACTTCAAGTTTATTATTATTATTATTTTTTTAAACGTGGGTGAATTACTAAGGTCTCTCGCACGATTTTTAAATCTTGGAAGAAATGCATATTTGAGCTTTGGGAAAAAAGGCAATGCAAAAAAGCCACCTTAGCGTTGCCCTTTAGCACGCGATTCTTCAAGTACAGCCCGAACTACGGGAGCACCAGATGAGCTTCAGAGCGGGTGCTACATTTTGTTGCCTCCTTTGTGTGAAGCAGTATGTACACCTTCTGTAGTGGGCGAGAGTTCCTACGTTGGAGAGAAGCGGGGACAAGCCCTTTTTTCAAATGCGTCGTCCTCTTGAACTTCGGGACAAAAAGACACCAGTTTTCGGCTCTAAACCCGCATTTATTTGGCCTCACTTGTGATGCATTTGTACGCATTCTGCGCCTCGAAGCAGGGTTGTTGCAATGGAAGCTCGTGACAATTTTAGAAGGTTCCGGACCCTCCAAATTTCTTCCCCCCCCCCCCCCCTTCCTGCCTACGCCACGTGCTTGCCCCTCTATGCAAATATCAGCCGATTTTCCAGCAGTTAATCTCTTTTTTTGCAGAAATGATTGTTGGTAAGCAAGCCAACCACTAAAATTCGAAAGCTATTTTTAATTTGATTAGAAGTTCCTCGGAAAAAGTAATTTAAGTAAACTAATAATTAAAACAGAAATGTAATTGAAAGTTACTAAACTACTAAGAAAAGTAATTAAACTACAGTAACTTGAGCAGGGTAGTCGAACTACGTACAAGTCTGCCCCAGACGTCTTCTACTCTTGATGTAGGCAAAGAAGCATATTCTTTATGTACTTCGAAATTTTCATCCAGGCACTCTAAGATCGCAACACCGGTGGCATTTCTAAAATTCAGTACTTTCCGAGTGTCGCAGGAAGCAGCTTTTGTTTTAACAAGCCGCATGTTAATATAACTTAGGGTTCCGAAAAGTCGTCTCTCAGCTGTCATGAGTATGATGTTTCCACTAGGAAATATGAGGTCGAGTAACGACTCACAGTAGCCCTGCGTTCTTTTGCTGGTTTCGACAATTTGCGTCAAGTCATGATAAAATGCTACATCTAAAGCGAACGAGGGCGGGGACCATCACTGGGACTTTCGCACAGATTATTCCAATCAATATGGGGTAAGTAAGAGTCACCCGAAAGAACAAGTTTTTAGTTTTCCTTAACATATAAGCAAAGGTAATCATTCAGCCCAAATAAATAGTTCGGGTCTGACTCAGGGGGTCTGTAAAGGGCAACCATACTAACAGAACTCTCGCTTATCAAAATCTTAGCAGCGATGCATTCTATATCGTCAACTACATGCATTTCCACAAAGGCATATTCATCCTTAATTATAATAGCAACACGCCTTCCCCTACTTCTTCGGTCCTTGCGATAAACTATATATTGTAGTGGCAGAAACTGAATTTTTTTTCGGTAGTTAGCCAAGTTTCTGTCAAGATGAATATATCATATTCATGCTCCATGAGTACTGATTCAAGCTGAGTTGATTTATTAACAATGCTACGTGCATTCAAATTGAGCAAAACAAGGTTGTTAGGGGTCAAACACAGTATCGTGGCCTTGGCCGATCAATTGTTTCTGATTCGATCTTTTGTTCCAGAAAAATAGCTGGCCGTTAAGCGATACCCTGCTGAATACTAGGCACGCTTTATCACCTTGTCTCGTCTCATCAGCACTCTGGGCACCGAGCCATGTAGGTGTTCTAGGTAACGAAGCAGCAGATGCTTTGGCTGCCTCTGTTAATGGTCACCTAAAAGCATCTGATGGCCTTTCCTACGAAGAGTTTAAACACGTTATAAAGAATCAATTTCCGAACTTTTACAGTTAGAATGTGACAAAAAAAAAAAAACGACAATGAACTAGATAATGTTAAACCTTGTGTAGGACTACAGGAAAGTTCCTACTAGAGGAACCGCTACCACGCGGTTAATGTGTCGCTTGCATATTGGACACAGACGTTTAAGACATATATACTTGCTTTTTGATGACTATACCAAAGCTGGGGGCAATGTGGCATAACTTTGACTGTCAGCATATTCTGTGGCACTGCAGGTTCTTAGATAAAAAAACCACGAGCTTGTTTTACTAGTATTTTTGGATCCCATCTCCCATTCAATCCCTTATTCTTGCCAGGAGATGAACCTCTTGTGCCTTTCAGGAATATTTTGCAATTTTGTAAAATAACTGACTATTACACCTGTTATAACTACTCCTTTTCTGCCATGTTTTCAATCATCCTAGATAATTACCTGAAATTCATGTTCATATGTTTTACATGGTCTATGTTTATACTTTTATTGAATCACGAGCTGCAATAGCTCCGTCTTCTTGTTAACCCTTTTCCTGCAATAGTTTCTGCACGTGGCACATTTCGGCTTAGTTGCTCGAGCGCCACAAAACTAGAATCACTCATTCAGCTTACACGCTTCCTCTCGTGCGCGATAGTCGGTGTCTCGCACCGTTTGCTGTTCTCGTGCCACTGCACTTCTCCTCCCACCCTGATCAGTGCAGTGCGCTTGCCATTCCTGCTCCAAGGGTGGACAGCCAATCTTGTACTGTCAGGTCCTGTCAGGAAAAGGGGGGGGGGGGGGGGGGGGGGGGAGGGAGGGAGAGAGAACTGAAAAAACGCCGCCCAGGGTCGCGCCTTTTTTTTTTTTTTTTAGACGCGCGCAGGACTTCCAGAACCCCGCAGCGACGGCGGTGATGATGGGACGGGGAAGACCGTCTCACCATTGAAAGCTGTACGAGGAGAGAAGGTGATGGGGAAAGAGGGTTAGCACAGAGAAGCTATCTTTCTTTTCCCCGCAATCTCGTGGTTTTTTCGTGGGATAGGGGCCCTAACAGCTCCTGCCGTAAACTAGTCTGGATGAAATACCGACTTGGAGCTGCACGCCCTGTTTTTTTCGTCCACAGCATTCCTCGTAGAGAGCTTTGTCTGAACAGCAGCGGAGAGAAATGGTCGAAGCCTGCGAGGTCAAGTGAATGGGCGGATTCAAAGGGTTGCACTAGCGCGTAAAAGCATTGCCTTGTCGTTTTTTTTTTCTCTCTTTCAACATGGGATCGTTTTGACGGAGCCACGCTACTCGCCTCCACTCCGGCCCTTTCCTCTACCCCTTCCAAACAGAAGCAAAATTTAGGGCTGAATTTGGAGGCACGCCATCTAAATTTTTAAGTCCTTGCGTCGATCGAATATCGTTTGACTGAGAACCTTGAAGGTGAGAACGTGTTTCATCGACACTCTTGGTGGAGCACAGAGGTCGCCCTCCACCCTACCTCAACACGAATCTAACTATCATTAAAACGCGTTCTTTTTAATCCAACATTTGCAGGAAGTTGGGTAACTCACGCGTCACTTTCCGATCCTTTGAATTTTACCGTTCTTTCTCATTTATTTAGCTTCAACTTATTTCTTTAAGTTAATTTATATTGCGACTGTTTTCTTTTTCTTTTTTGCTATTACTGGTTTAATTTGAAACCTGTATTTTTAAAGTACATAACTGCAAAAATGTAACGACGCCCTCTTGTTATATTTTCCCTGGCGTGATTAACCCTTGTGTAGTTCTATATGATCTATCATAGTCTTCTTTGCCTACACTAATGCGCACGTCAGGGCATGTGTACTTAAAAATATTAAGGCAAAACATGTGTAACGTGAACCGGTCCGTGGCAATATAAGTTTTTTTTTTTTTTTTTAATTCTAGGTAATGTATTGCTACTAATAACAGTTCAGTCCTCGCAAAGGTTTGTTTGTTTTTGAGAAGTGACAACCCTGCAAAACAATGAAATCCGCCCCCTTTTTATGAGACGTATTTAAAAAAAAAGAGTAGTGTCGCGAAGCTCTGTCGCTTTCTTAAGAAAGAAAACTTTCACATCCGATTGTAATTTTGGGTTTTCTGTGATGATTTGTGCGTAGCTGGTCTGCGCAAATGTTTTGCAGTCTTCGTAAAGGTTATTCTCTGCGCAGATTGCGACAGAAAGAGACGCCCACCTTCTGGAAAATCCTTCTTACGTTGTAAGTTCTCTCACAGGGCACTGAACTGCCTTTTTATTTTGTAGGAAGTGTAAGCAATTGGAATTTCTATTTTAGTGATGAAAAAACAATAAAAAAAAGCACCAGCCAAAAGGTCATTTCAGTAAGTTTCGTCCTGACAGGACAATGAACTCGTTGGTGATGCAATAATACCCACCTTGCTCAGGCGTTAATAAAGGTAAGCTTTCATTAAGCTGTTTTAGACTTTCGAGGTACGCAAGACGAAGTTCATAGCACTGCATAAACATCGCATCGAAGCTTTGAGACATGAAACTGCTCATGTGGATATTTTGCCTTATTCTTTTTGTGAGTCACGGCGAGGGAGAAGGTAAGTGCCTACGAAAAACGCCAGGATTCGTTTTTTTTTTTTTTTGTTATTTCCTTTCATACCAATATCGCCCAGTGAGAAGTTTAGTAGGGGTGCGTAAACTATTACACAATAGGAAACATGAAAAAAAAAACACAAAAAATAACGTGTTAGACTAAAGATAAACCACCGAACGGAAATCAGTACCATGGTTTGATCAGAAATACGAAGAACGGGAGGAAGCTATATCAACCAATTGGAGAGTAGATTACAATTATGAGTACGTTCGAAAAAAAAAAGACCGTTTATGTACGTTATATTGGGCAGAAAATTCTGAAACACTTTTATTATTACATGATTACGAAAAGCAAAAAGACTAGTTCCCAGCGGGCGAGCGGGCAGCCATACTTTCTTAGCAGAATCAATTACAACCTCCTTAATATTAAAAAAAAAAAAAAAAAAAAAACGGGGAAAACCAGCAAATCAATTACCTCACGACCGAATGTAACCAGCTGAAGAGAATTTCAGAGTTAACGTTTCACATACGTGTACCATTCTTGTTTAGTCCCGGCTTTACTGTTGGGGACACAAGCCGATCAAAAGGTTCCTTTTCCTTGATTCTTCAGTTCAAGGGTGCGTTTTACCAAGTGTCTGGAAAACAAGAGAATTGATTTTTTTTTCTGGTGGCAGAAATAAAATCCCTTTCTCGAACACTGAAGTTTCTACTTATATGTAATGTTGACGGTGGGGACCATGCAGATACGAAAGTTTGAGAACGTATCGCTATTTACATAAAAAAATAAACGTTTTTTTTTTAATTTGGGCTCTTTACAGGTAGCAGAAATAATTGTCTTCATGTGTTCGCCGGCACCAAACGCCGCCAGTTCGTTGCTGAAAATTTCTTAAAATCGCTTATGACTCTTGAATTGTATCCAAATAACTTAGCTATTTGTTTTCACAAATAAGCACAAGAAAATCTGCAGCCTATTTTTTATTATAACTGGGCTGCAGATTTAGGGGTGCTTATTTATGAGACCAATCTGGGATGTTTTTTCAGTGTTCATTTATTTTTTAAAAATCGGTGTATTCTGCGACTTGTTTCGTGGGAATTCTGAAAACAATGATTACTTCTAAAAATACCGACAGACACAAAAAAGCTTATAAAAATTCAAAGCTCAAATTTTATTTAAAAAATTCACTTACCGTTTAAACCTTTAGACACAACCCAAAAACAATGGACAACGACACCGAACACTGGTCAAAGTGCTAGTACTCTTTGAAGTATAATCACCCCGAGCTTCAAGTGTCCATCTTCTAGTTTCCTTCTTATCCTGCTTCTTTCTACAAACAAATGGCAGCCTCCGAAGTGAAATGTTTCCGGCACTTAGAAGGCCAGTCGCTTTTGCTTCTTTTGCAAGATACAGCAGAGAACGACGCCCAGTGTAGTTTCTAACCTGTATTGCTAACTCTAAAATTAAATTTCCGCTCGTCAGACGCCAAAGAAAGGCAAGTTTTGGAGAAGAAACACTATCAACGTGCGAAGAAAAAATAACTTAAACTAATTTAAAAATATAGGGTGAATTGTTTTGAGTGAAACACTGCTGTCGGGTCAATATTTTATACAACTAAATATATACAATAAATTTATGCTAATTGTGAAGAAAACCACCCTTGAAAACCTAAACTTTTCCTTTGCATGGCGAGCAAAATATAAGTGAGGTAAGACGAAGACCGATAGTTTAGGATACGTGACCGTCCCGAGTGAAAACGCCGTTTGTATGAGAAATTTATTGTCCAATAAACACACATGAATCATACGCGACATATAAGAACATAAACGAACTATATAAGAACTATATAATAACTATATAAGAACCATATAAAAACGCATAAGAAACTTCTCACAAGTTTTCTTTATACGGTTCTTATGTGTTCTTATATATCTTACATAGTTCTGATATTGTTCTTATATGGTTCTTATATGTTCTTATATATCTTGTATGATTCATATGTGCTTATTAGAAAGAGAAATTACTCCTACAAATAAGATTTTTCAATAGGGTTGTGAACCGTTTCATTCCGTTAACCATTTATTTCCTATCACTTCAATGAAGACCTGATTCGGGAACCCTGAAAATTTTAGTCTATCGGTTTGGCCCAAGAAACTCCAATGAATGGATGAAGTGAAGTGATAGGAACGCTGGTAAAGAATGTAAACGGGGGTGAAAAAACTAGGCTCCCCGTTGAAAAAAACCGGGTGGTGGTTATGCCATGCCTACACAAAATATCACAAAATCTACAACAAGTGGCAAGTAGGTATGGTGTGCCCGTAGTACTATAAGCCCCTAAAGAAATGCGACGAATTTCTTCTAAGGTTCGTGAAAAGGCAGAAAAATTACCAAAAAACACGTGCCACAAAAAAAAAAAAAAAACACGTGCGGCTTTTTGTTATTTGTTCATCGGGCGTTGTATACAGCATTCCTCTTTCATGTGGAAGATAGTATGTTGGACAGACGGGACGGTGTCTGAATGACCGGTTACGAGAGCACAAACTCTCTTTAACATTCACTGTAGGAGGTCACCTTTCGGTGCACTGTAAGACCTGTACGTGCACGCCATCTTTAGAAAAAACATCGATCATTGGCCGCTTTAAAGAAAGAAAAAAAAAAAACGCGCGAGGTGCTTGAATCGTTCAACATCTTGAGCCTGGCCGATCGCTGCGTTAGTCAGCTGTCGGTAGCTTTGAGCAAAAAAGAAATTGCCTTCTTGCGATCATTTGGCTGCGACTGATCTGTTTACCGGTCCCCCTGGTTACCCTGGTGACGTTGTTCCCTGTAAAAAAAATTGTGCTTCATCTTTCTTTTCTTCACTTAATATACTAGAGTTGTGAGTGCGCGGTTGTCTATGTTCTGTGTTCCTTTCTCGTTTGTCCTCGTTTCTTTGTGCGCGATTTTTAACCATGTTCAACGTTTACCAACTCGCCCAGCTTACTACTCTTGTACTGGTTCACGTCTGCGTGTTGAAAGCATTTTACGTTAACTTTCTTTCTGTCCGTAAAACGTTTACCGATCCACATGTTAAAAATAATCGCGATTAAAGAATGCATCGATTAATCGGCTGCTTAATTGATCATTGGCGCAGCCCTACATATTTGAAGGCCGCAGACGTTTTGGGTTTAACAGAAAAATACCGAAAAACATCGCTCGGTGTCCAAGACACAAACTTATTTAGACCTAAAATTATTTTTTTTCAGTTTGCTGTACGCGAGGACTTTCTTTTTGTCGCAGCTCTCCCTTAGCCATTTGTCGGGCGCCTAATCGTATTTAGAATTGAACAGCCTGCCAGTCCAGAATCACAAGAAACACTCATTGAAGAACAATGGCATAAGAGTTAGCTCTGTCAGTAGGTAACCACAGGTGGTCACAGTGTCTTTGTTCCACAAAGTTTAGAACTGGACAAAACTGTTGGAAACAGTGTTGCCATCTGAGGCTTTTTTCAGCTAGATATTGCTCTTTTCTATGATCGTCTGGCGTGGGAAAATTATATCAGCTGCAACAGGTAAATTTTAACATATATTAGAGATATCTGGCTACTTTTCTAGCTTGTTTTCGCATATGCATTTGACTATATAATATTTATAGTTATTTTAATTAAGCGAGGTTCTTTCGAGTATTTGAGTAAATGAGCAAGCTCAGGAAATAAAATTATTTGTTCCATAGAGTGAGAGCACGTACCGGCGTATTTCATGAATTTTTAAAACGATCATTCTAGCTAAATTGTCTATGCTGGTCCTGACTTTACATAAGGACTAGACTGAGAAGTGATGTCGTATGTGTTTTCTTATATCCCATACCCCTTTATATGTGCAAAAACAACGCATGCATCCAAGAGTGAAACCCAAACGATCTGAAAGCCGTGATGTTAAGAAGGGCAGATTGATTTACTTTAAGTTTTTCATTTTGACAGTAAGTTGATAATTCTGTTTTAAAAATACACTCAGATTTGGTTTGTGTCAAAATTAATAAATAAGTAATACAATATAAAATTGGGGAGTGTGATCATTTATCACCATTTTGTTGTCTGGTTTATATAATGCACGAGGGAAAGCGTACAATGTTTTCCGGGCAATATATGGGATAAGGAGTCTGTTTTTCATTCGGTCAAAAAGGTTATATTTTTTTATACCCAAGTTACGAAATAAATGCATCATCTTTCTATTCTTCACATAATATACCAGAGTTGTAAGTGCGCGCCTGTCTGTGTTCTGTGTTCCTTACTCGTTGCTCCTCGTCCCGTTGTGCGCGATTTTTAACCATGTGAACGAGTACACTTCCATCAAGGGAGAACTTTAAGTGAAATGTTAACCGAGAGTAAACTGTAAGGGGGAGGTTTATAACTCCAGACAAGGGCAGAGTGTCACACATGTCTCGGCTGCTTCAGCGCCGTACGACGAGTGTCTGTTTAGTCTAGCAGACACTGTTTCATGAAGTGTATCATCAACAGTCGTTCTGAGATTATTTCTTTCCCTTGCCTAACTATTACTCTTCCAATGTGAACGCTCAGATTAAAGTTGGATTAACGCGTTGCCAAACGAACACCTTTTTCTATTCATTTATTCCGCTTACAAGTGACTGGAACCACCTTCCAGCAGATTTTGAAACAAAACCCGATTTTTTTCCTTTTCTCTAATCTCAATTTACATGCATGTAGATGAGCCACTATGAGCTTTTTTCTTTTTTTTTTTTCTTAGCAGATGTTGCTTTCAGCTTTTGCAAATCAGATTTTTTTTTATTTGTCGCGGCATCTTTTGTTTTGTCGTTTTTCTTTTTGTTTGCTTTACTCCTCCCTTCTACAATGGTTCGACGCTTGAGGGTATGTACAACAAATAAATGACATTTTGCCCGTCTTGCCCGTCTTGCCCGTCTTGCCTGAGAATATAAACAAAAAACCTCGTTGGCCTCAAGCATCTGAGGCAAAAACACGTTAGTGTGAGTGTCTTTGAACTGTTCTAAACTACGTAT